GAAACACCAGACCGGTTGAGATATGAGAATGAAAAGCTGGCCTGTGCAGCTCACCCAGGGGAATCATAAAGGTTTACCTGCCAAAAAACGCCACTTTCATATGTCTCCGTGACAGCACCTCCCCAATGACAGCAAGCTTGTTCCTGTAGCCCTGTATTTCCACCAGATCATCCTCAGTTGCTATTCGATCAAGTTCCGGATTCCTGTATGTTGCTGCAAAGTTCAAACAGTATTAGAAAAAATGATATAAATGAATTCTGCTAATTATACAACTGTATGCATTTTGGGTTGTTCTACACTAACATATCACTTGAAAAATCTGAGTAGTTGGTTTATTTCTTCTTTTTTATAGGATGCGTGTGTCAGGTAGTCAGTCTAGGACCTCATACACTCAAGGCAGGCGCTCTACCGCTAAGCGACGACCTTGAGTATCTGGTAAAAGCTGAGTGCCCACTGTGATGACTATCCTGCCTGAAAGAATTTCAAAAATATTGAAGACTTCAAGGACTTGGTGAGAGGGATTATTTACTATTTATCTAGTGTTCAAAATTACAAACCATATGTAAAACAAAAATCCTGTTTTAAAGAGAGAAATGAGAACCTACTAGCCATCTACTTTTGTTCAAGTCAATCCTGAACTGGAGAGGAGTTCCACATACTGAAGTGTGACGTTCCTACCTCTCAGATACAAAGACAGGGTTCAGTCTGTGAGCTAGGTAAGCCCTCGCTCCTTGTCACTTTACAGCTTGATTCCCACAGGGAAGGGATACAACAGTCCAACCAGTAAGAAAAGGCAGAGAGAAAGATTTATAGATTGAAGCAGAAGCTGGGCTTATCAGAACCAGGGGACCTATCCACATAACCCTAACCAAGGACAGAGGAAGTTCCAAGATCACGGGTTTGAAAAGGAGCAAAATGAGCCTGGTGGTGGTGGCACACATCTTTAATCCCAACACTTGTGAGGCAGAGGCAGGCGGATCTCTGTGAGTTTGAGGCCAGCCTGGTCTACAGAGAGAGTTCCAGGACAGCCAGAGCTACACAAAGAAAGCCTGTCTCAAAAAAAAAAAAAAAAAAGAAAAAGAAAAAAGAAACAGTCACTGTTTTCTCATCCTAGTAATAGGAGAGGAAACAAATACTGTCTTTTTGCCTCTTTTTGAAGATAAGACATGGAGACACTTAGAACTAACTCAGTGTTCAAGTAATTAAGCTTAAGCTTTTCGCACCTCATTTTACATTTCAAGTACATTAATAAAGCATTTACAACTGGTGAATAATGGAAAGACTGGCACTGAACTTGCCATGTAGCTGAGGACCTTGAACTCCTGATCCTACAGACTTGTACCACCAAGCCAAGGTTGTGATTTTTTTTTTTTTTTTTTTTTTTTTTTTGGTTTTTTCGAGACAGGGTTCCTCTGTTGTTTTGGTGCCTGTCCTGGATCTCACTCTGTAGACCAGGCTGACCTTGAACTCACAGAGACCCGCTTAGCTCTGCTGGGATTAAAGGCGTGCGCCACCACTGCCCAGCCCAAGGTTGTGATTCTTAAATACTTACCTTACATATTATACTTCTTGTTATTTCTCATTTTATACTTTTTGATTTACGTTTCTATTTGCTAGCCCCCTCCCCACCCCTGGAAATTTTAGAACAAGTCAAAAAAATTTCAGATTCTAATACTGCCTTTTCACTAACTCGCAGCATATGTTCAGGCTATAATTGACAGGCTTCAAAAAAGATAATACTACATTCAACTTCAGTTTTATTCCCTATCAACTTTAGGAAACGGCATTTTCCAAAAGTCACTGTTGGCTCAAAGTCTTCCAAAACTGGAAATAAACTTTTTTATTTTCTCATTCAATGAAACTTGGGCTATGTGATATTTGGAATTGGAGATAATCAAAGTTCCAGGCCTAAGGAGCTCAAAATCTGGTGAGGGAGATTTAAAGGAACAAGTGAGAAAATGTTTGTTTCAACCAAGAGATGAAATGCTTCCCCAATGCATTGGAAATAATCTAAGAATTCCTCACTTTTCATTGTAAACCCAAAACACAGATATCCTAAGAACCTGAAGACATTCCAATAGTTCTCTTTAAATTAGTATATCCTGAAAAAACAATTGAGGCTACCTTTGAGCAGTTACACAAACGAAAGGAAAATATTTATCCTTTCCCAAAGCAACTACATCTCATGTGAGAGAAGAGATAAGCCTGAGATTCTAAAATTGCTCAAGGACAAATCGTGGTGGAGACAAATGTAATGGCTGCATACAGACTGCCTGATTGTAGGCGGATCCTAGCTTTGTGACCTTGGGGCAAGTTGCTTATCTTCACAGTGCCTTTAAAATGAGTTTGCTTCTAACTTACCTACTGATTTTATGAGGATTACAGACATTTTAAATTTCATAATTAAACATTCAGACTAGTATTTCTTAACTGTGAAATTGCTTTTACTCACTATGGTACTGCTCTCAGAATACAGAACAATGTGACTTCAACATCTAAACCTGAGCAAGGAACACACCTGTAAACCCAGCAGTCAGGAGGCAGAGGCAGGAGGATCAGGAGTTTAAAGCCATTCTTGGCTACAGAGCCAGTTCAAAGCCAGCCTGATCTCAAAAAAAGAAATAAAACAAAATAAAGAACTAAAGTTGAAATAATAAAACACTTGTATATATTTTCAACAGTAATTGTGGAAATTTTAAGAGGTACCAACCTTCAACAAAATGTGACCCTTCGGTAACAAACTCCAGCAACTGGCCAAAGATGGCAGTGATGGCCTTCTTTGCCAGCACAAAGTGCTTCAGTGGAGACACAGTTTCTGCCATTATGCACCTAGGGTGGGAAAAGGTGAGAAAAGTAATAATTAGCCTCTGGGTGAGGCACGCCTGGAGTCTCAGCTATGGGGCAGGCTGAGGCAGGAGGTACACTTGAGCCCAGGAAATCCAATTCTACTTGGACAACATAACATAGCAGGGCTTTCCTCATTGCCAAAGCTCTAATTAAACTGAATAATAAGGGGTCTGAAGAGGTGGCCCAGCAGTTAAGAGCACTGGCTGCTCTTCTAGAGGACTCTGGTTCAATTCTCAGCACCCACATAGTAGCTCACAAGGGTCTATGATTCTAGTTCTAGATGGTCTGATGCCCTCCTCTGGCTTCCACAGGCACCAAGCACACACATGGTGCACACAGGCTTACATGCAGCCACAGTAACCATACACATAAAATAAAAATTACTAAAAAAGAAAAAAAGTCATTTTTAAGAAATAATAAAAAAATAAAAATAAACTGAGTAATAAGGAAGCTGTGTATCCCAGCAATGAGGAGGCTGAAGCAGGAGACCTAGTTTAAAACAAAACCAATCGAACAAAAACACTCTGGGACCTTCGAAATGGCCCAGCGGGGTAAAGGCGATTGCTGCTAAGCCTGAGGACCTGAGTTCAATGCCCAGAAACCCACAGATGGAAGGAGAGAACCAACTCTAGTAAGGTGTTCTCTGCCTCCAACACAAATTCCAACATCCCCTCATATAAATCAAATGAAACTTCAAAAAACATAGGATAAAAATGTGCACATTTCTGGGGCTGGGGATGTCTCAGTAGTTAAGATCACTTGTTGATCTTCAGGAGGCCTCAATCGGGTTACTCTGTAACAACCATCTGTAACTCCAGTTCCAGGGGATCTGACGCCCTCTTCTGACCTCCAAGGGCACTAAGAACAGTATATTCATTAAGAAAAAAAAAAAAAAGACAAAACAAAAAAATATGTCTTAAAATCATAAGTATTCTAATCCCTGCCAGTTTGTGTCTCAATTCCCTAATGGCAAAAACTAACCTGACCAAACAGACCGAATGCCTTTAAGTTAATTTTTTAGGAAATTTATTTAAAGAAATCATTTTAGTCAGAAACTGAAAAATACTCTTGAATGACCTCTTACTAGAACAGGTAAAATCTACCTCCCCTAGCGCTGCTTGTAATCCAGTTACTCAGGAGGCTAAGGCAAGAAAATCTGCAAATTCCAGGTCCACGGGGCAACAGTGAGTTGCAGGCTTGCCTGGGCCACTTAGTAAGACCCTGTCTCAAAATGAAGAGTTTAGAAACGGGTTGGGGTCGTGTGTGTGTGTGTGTGTGTGTGTGTGTGTGTGTGTGTGTGTGTGTGTTGGCTCAGTGGTAAAGCACTTGCCTGGAATGTGAGACCTGTGAAGGTTCATTCCTTGGTTCTGGAAAAATGAATATGTAAATAAATAATGTAAAATCCGTAAAGGCTAATGACAGAAATGCTGGTTGCATTTCCTACTTTATTCCCCTTGAGTGAAGATGAAACTATTGTAGCTAAGCTGCGGTTGCGTGTGACTCTTAAGCACATCAGGGAACTGGGTTAGGGAGAGGAAGCCAAGATCTCAAGCCATAACTAAGTTATTAACTTTCCCAATTGACGGTGTAGGAAACAAAGTAAAATTCCCAGGTCACAATGAAGTACCGACACTGAGAAAGCAACAGCTTTCATCACAATTAAGGATTCAAGGCTTAAAGGAGGCATGACGGCTTCTAGCCCAAGTCCACAAACTTTAAGGAATGTTCAATTTAAAATAACAATAAAGACGTTGTACCTGGAAGCTTCTTATGAAAAGACACCAAAGACAACCACACACTAACCCCGGAGTGCGTGAAGTGAAGCGCCCTGGCCACCAGGAGGGCAGATCCCTCCAGAACTGACGGCGCGGAGGAGGTGCGTGGGGAGAGGAAGCCGCGTGGGCCGTGAGCCGGCCGGGCCGGGTGGACTCCTACCTGGACAGGCCGCCCGAGGCTCCCGCCCGGCCCGCCGCCCCAGCCGGTCAGGGCGCCCTCGCTCCGCCTGTCCGGAGCTCGAAGGTCATCCCGGGCGTCCCCACCCGCCAGCGGACACTCACTCCGTCCCGGCTCCGACGGTCACCCAGCAACCACAGCTCCGCCACGGCCCCCGGGCTGTCTCATCCTCCCGAGAGAGGGGAGGCGCCCAAAGGAGGGGCTGTGTGGCGGCTACTTCCGGTTCCTCGCCTCTCCTATTGGCTGTTACTCCGAGACCGGAACTGCATCTATTCCGGGTGCCATTTTCCTTCAGGGCAGAAGGCGAGGTTTGTTATGGGCATGGACTCTTTAAGCAGAAGCTTTAACCGCTTTCCCTTCTACCTTACAACTCCTTCCCTTCGTTTTTCCCTTCAAAGTTTTCAAAGCTCAGCGGAGCCTAGGATGCCTGTGGTTGTCTTAGGGTGTAGGGTGCGAAGTTGGGGTGGGGGGCGAGGAGGTCCCAAAACCACAGAGATGCGTGTTTATCAAGCTAACCGGGAAAGTCCAAACTTCTGACTTCACTGCTCTGCTCTTGATTTGGTATCCTGGGTTGGGTGTGAAAGGTGTTACTTGGGAGTTAACTTGTCCAGGACTTACACTTTGTTAGGAATCACCTTAAAGACCGGGCGTGGCGGCGCACGCCTTTAATCGGGAGGCCGAGGCAGGCAGATCTCTTTGAATTTGAGGTCAGCCTGGTCTACACAGTGAGTTCCAGAACAGCCAGAGCTGCTACACAGAGAAACCCTGCCGTGGGGAAAAAAAAAAGGAATCACTTGGAAATTTTGTTAAGCTGTTGATTTTGATTCATTGGTCAAGGGTGAAGCCCAAGAGTCTACATGGTCCACCTCTCAGGAGAGTTCCACGGCACGTGTCCTTTCCAGAGTTAGCAAATGAGATGCTTTTGCAAGGGAAGCTATTTCATCTCTGTAAATTACAGGTATCCCATCTATAAAATACTAAAAATGCCTACTTTATGAGTTATGGAACAGTGAATGGGTTAGCATGTAAAGTGCTTAGGACACTGATGGACAGCGAAAAGAGCTGGATAAATAAATACCATGGTTCTCTTGGACAAGTGACTATCAAACAAATAAAATGGATGAGATAATTTCAGACTGTGCTTGCTGTTATGGGGGGAAAATCAGGGCATTGGAATAGAGTATCGGAAGAAAAAGGAGTAAGGTGGAGCCAACTAGAGTGTCATTTCTCATGTTTTTTCCAGACTTTTACTAGGAATATCTGGAGGAAAACTGCCCAAAGACTAATAGAAAGGACAGTGGTAAGGTGGATGAAATGAAAGACTAGCATGGTGGAGTGTAGAAAAGAAGAGGGTGAGAGAAATAAATGGTGGAAGAAAGGCGGGTGTAGAATCATAAAAGCTAAGATCAGAAGTATGAAGGACTTACTGTGTAGCCCAGATGGTCCTTAAACTTGAAATTCTGAAATTTGCTAAGGGTTGGTTTTATAAATGTGTGTGCTCCACCACATCCTGCAGAAATTTTGATTAAGTGTAATGAAAAACTTTTGGCCCAGAGAATAACAAAATTTGATGTTTGTTTGTCTGTTTGCATGAAGATAAGGTCTCATTTTAGTTCTGGCTGACTAGATGATGGGAGCTTCCCAAATGATGGGATTAAAGGAATATGCTTCCAAACTCTGAATTGATTTATATTTTCCCAGGTCACTTTGGCTATAAAGAGATTCCACACAATGCTTTCTTATTTTTAAACAGTGCTAGAGATTGAACCCAAAGTCTCATGCCTCAAGCCTCTACCTCTGAGCTACATGCCTAGCCCTGTAGCAAAAGTCTTTTCCAGAATGGGGAAGAGAGGCGCATGCCTGTAGCAGTAGCTACTAGGAGCCTGAAGCAGAAAGGCTCCTCAAGCCCAGGAGTTCTAACTCTGTGGGGAATATAGTGAGACCATCATCTGGGGAATGAAAAAAAAAAGCTGGGTATGGTAGCTCACTGACCCCAGCATCTGGGAAGGGAAGCCAGGAGGATTGCCTTAAGGGGTAGGCCAGACTGGAATAGAGACCTGTCTCAAAAACTAAAGACAAAATTTATTTCCAATAAAGATCTAAAACTAAGCAAGAAGTGTTGCTGTGTAGTTCAGTTGTGGTACAGAAGCTAAGATCTTTATTTTAAGGAATGTTTTATGGGCACGGAAAGCACCTACACTGGCTAAAATATCAGAAAAGGAAGAATGGAGACTCTAGAGCATGCATGAACAATGAGGCAATTTCTTCCTGTGTTCTGCTCTTAAAGCCTTCTAACTAACTGACTGGTCAGTCCAGCCCACATGGAGGTCAGAGGCCACTGAGCCGTTTTGCCAGACCTTAATGCAATTTCTACTGAAATGCTTATAACCTATTGAATAGAAATGGGGTGAATTTCTTTTTTTTTTTTAAGTGTTGGTCCTTTTTTTTTTTTTTTGTTAATGTAAAAGAATTTTATGTATAACTGCAGGAGAATATAATACACAGATAGCTTGGACATAAAAACAGATTATAATCCAAAGGTCCAGGGTTATTTTATTTTATTTTATTTTTTTCAGAGCTGAGGACCGAACCCAGGGCCTTGCGCTTGCTAGGCAAGCGCTTTACCACTGAGCTAAATCCCCAACCCCCCAGGGTTATTTTAAACAGTAAAATATTTTCTCTGTAGAAAATAGTATAAATGATGACATTTCCCAATAGGCCCTTTTAAGCCAAATGATAGCTGAATTATACATGTAAATATTGATTAGATTCTGGAATACAGAAGAAACCTATCTTCATCTGTTCAGAGAGCTATGTTTTACTTAAGTTGTGTGAGATTCCTATTCATCTTCCCCTTCACTGTTTGATTTATGGCAGACATTTTTCTATAGGCTAATCCATAATCTAAAAAGATTTTGGCCTCCCCTCCTGAAAGTACAGCCAGCATATTCTCTCATCAGCTTGATACGGTATATATTCTTATCCTAATAGTGAAATGTTTCACTAAAGCTTGCCCAGTGATTGAGCAAAACCAAAACTTATTATAAGCCACAGTCGTCCTAGTGTCCTGTCCCCGTCCCCGTCCCCCTCCCCCCCCCCCAGCTATATAGCCTCCCTGGATCTTTGGTTTGTAGTCTGTGGATCTGTAGTTTGCAGTCTGATTGTTCTTTGCTTTATATCTGGTATCTACTTATGAGTGAGTACATACTATGTTTGTCCTTCTGAGTCTGGGTTACCATACTCAGGATGATATTTTCTAGTTCCATCCATTTGCCTGCAAATTTCATGATGTCATTGTTTTTCTCTGCTGAATAGTACTCCATTGTATATATGTACCATATTTTCTTAATCCATTCTTCAGTTGACGGGCATCTAGGTTGTTTCCAGGATCTGGCTATTACGAATAATGCTGCTATGAACATGTATCTTTGTGGTATGATTGAGCATTCCTTGGGTATATGCCCAAGAGTGGTATGGTCTTGAGGTAGATCAATTCCCAATTTTCTGAGAAACCGCCATACTGATTTCCAAAGTGATTGTACAAGTTTGCACTCCCACCAACAGTGGAAGAGTGTTCCCCGTGCTCCACATCCTCTCCTACATAGACTGTCATTAGTGTTTTTGATCATAGCTATTCTGACAGGTGTAAGGTGGTATCTCAGTCATTTTGATTTGCATTTCTCTGATGACTAAGGATGTTGAGCATTTCCTTAGATGTCTTTTAGCCATTTGTGATTCTTTTGAGAATTCTGTTTAGCTCTATAGCCCATTTTTTTAACTGAATTGTTCAGTATTTTGATGTCTAGTTTCTTGAGTTCTTTATATACTTTTGGAGATCAGTCCTCTGTCAGATGGGGGTTTGGTGAAGATCTTTTCCCATTCTGTTGGCTGTCTTTTTGTCTTGGCTTTTGCCCTACAAAAGCTTCTCAGTTTTTTGTTTTTTTTTTTGGTTTTACGAGACAGGGTTTCTCTGTGTAGCTTTGCGCCTTTCCTGGAGCTCACTTGGTAGCCCAGGCTGGCCTCGAACTCACAGAGATCCGCCTGACTCTGCCTCCCGAGTGCTGGGATTAAAGGCGTGCGCCACCAATGCCCGGCTAAGCTTCTCAGTTTTAAGAGGTCTCATTCATCAATTGTTGCTCTCAGTGTCTGTTCTGCTGGTGTTATATTTAGAAAGTGATCTCCTGTGCCAATGCATTCAAGAGTACTTCCTACTTTCTCTTCTATCAAGTTCAATGTAACTGGATTTATGTTGAGGTCTTTGATCCTCTTGGGCTTGAGTTTTGTGCATGGTGACAGATATGGATCTATTTGCAATCTTTTACATGGTGAAATCCAATTATGCCAGCACCATTTGTTGAAGATACTTCCTTTTTTCCATTGTATGGTTTTGGCTTCTTTGTCAAAAAGCAGGTGTTCATATGTGTGTGGATTAATGTCAGGGTCTTCAATTCGATTCCATTGGTCCACATGTCAGTTTTTTTTTTTTTTGCCAGTACCAAGCTGTTTTTATTATTATAGCTCTATAGTAGAGCTTGAAGTCAGGGATGATGATGCCTCCAGAAGTTACTTTATTGTACAGGATTCTTTTAGTTATCCTGGGTTTTTTGTTTTTTCCATATGAAGTTGAGTATTGTTCTTTCCAAGTCTGTGAAGAATTGTGTTGGGATTTTGATGGGGATTGCATTGAGTCTGTAGATTACTTTTGGTAAGATTGCCATTTTTACTATGTTAATCCTACCTATCCATGAGCATAGGAGATCTTTCCATTTTCTGATACCTTCTTCAGTTTCTTCAGAGACTTAAAGTTCTTATACAGGTCCTTCACTTGTTTAGTTAGTGTTACCCAAGGTATTTTATATTATTTGTGGCTGTTGTAAATGGTGATGTTTCTCTGATTTCTTTCTCAGACCCTTTATCATTTGTATATAGGAGGGCTACTGATTTTTTTGAGTTGATCTTGTATCCTGCACTTTACTGAAGGAGTTTATCAGCTGTAGGAGTTCCCTGGTAGAATTTTGGGGGTCATATCATATCATATCATCTGCAAATAGTGAAAGTTTGACTTCTTCCTTTCCAATTTGTATCCCTTTGATCTCCTTTTGTTGTCTTATTGCTCTAGCTAGAACTTCAAGTACTATATTGAATAAATATGGGGAGAGTAGACAGCCTTGTCTTGTTCCTGATTTTAGAGGAATTGCTTTGAGTTTCTCTGTTTAATTTGATGGTGGTTGTTGGCTTTTATGTTTAGGTGTGTTCCTTGTATTCCTGATCTCTCTAAGACCTTTATCATGAAGGGGTGTTGGATTTTGTCAAAGGCTTTTCAGCATCTAATGAGATTATCATGTGTTGTTTTTTTCTTTCAGTTTGTTGATATGGTGTATTACATTGACAGATTTTCGTGTGTTGAACTATTCTTGCATCCCTGGGGTGAAGCCTACTTGGTCAGTGGATAATTCTCTTGATATGTTCTTGGATTCGGTTTGCCAGTATTTTGTTGAGAATTTTTGCATCAATGTTTATGAGGGAGATTGGTCTGTAATTCTCTTTCTGTAGCTGGTGAGCTCACCAACCCATTGGGCACCATTTGTAGATGGTGAATTTTCTCTTCTGGTCCTGCCAAGCCCCAGCAATCCGACAGCCCACTTATAAAATAAACACACAGACACTTATATTATTTAAACTGTTTGGCCATTAGCTCAGGCCTATCATTGTCTAGCTCTTACTCTTATATTTAGCCCATTTTTATTAATCTATACTTTGCCACGTGGCTTTTGGCTTACTGGTACCTTACGTCTTCCTTGTCCTGGCAGCGGCTGCAGTCTCTCCCTCTGCCTTCCTGTTTCCTCAATTCTCCTCTCTGTTAGTCCCACCTATACTTTTTGTCTGGCTACTGGCCAAGCAGTGTTTTATTTATACAGAGTGATATCCACAGTATCTTTCTTTGTTGCATCTTTGTGTGGTTTGGGTATCAGGGTAACTGTAGCCTCATAAAAAGAGTTTGGTAATATTCCTTCTGTTTCTATTGTGTGGATCAATTTGAAGAGTATTGGAATCAGCACTTCTTTGAAAATCTGGTAGAATTCTGCACTGAAACCATCTGGTCCTGAGCTTTTTTTGGTTGGGAGACTTTTAATGATTGTTTCTATTTCCTTAGGGTTTATTGGTCTATTTACATAGTTTATCTGGTGTTGATTTAACTTTAGTATGTGGTACATATGCAGAAAACTGTCTATTTCTTTCAGATTTTCCAATTTTGTGGAGTACAGGTTTTTGAAGTATGGCCTGATGATTCTCTGGATTTCCTCGTTGTCAGTTGTTAGACATCTCCCTTTTCATTTCTGATTTTGCTAATTTGAATGCTCTCTCTCTCTGCCTTTTGGTTAATTTGGATAGGGGTTTGTCTATCTTGTTGATTTTTTTTTCAAATAACCAACTCTTTGTTTCATTGATTCTTTGTATTGTTTTCTTTGTTTCTATTTCATTGATTTCAGCCCTTAGTTTGATTAAGTTTCCTGGTGTCTGTTCCTCCTGGGTGAGTTTGTTTCTTTTTGTTCTAGACCTTTCAGGTGTGCTGTTAAGTGATTAATGTGAGATTTCTCCAACTTCTTTATGTAAGCATTTAGTGCTATGAATTTTCCTCCTAGCACTGCTTTTATAGTGTCCCATAAATTTGGGTATGTTGTACTTTCATTTTCATTGAATTCTAGGAAATCTTTAATTTCTTTCTTTGTTTCTTCCTTGACCCATTGGTGAATCAGTTGAGCATTATTCAGTTTCCATGAGATTATAGGCTTTCTATAGTTTTTGTTGTTGTTGAAATCTAACTTTAAGGCATGGTGGTCCAATAAAATACAGAAGGTTATTCCCATGTTTTTTTAATTTGTTGAAATGTAGTCAATTTTTGAGAAGGTTCTATGGGGTGCTAAGAAGAAGTTATATCTTTTTGTGTTAGGGTAGAATGTTCTGTAGATATCTATTAAATCCATTTGAGCCATAACATCTGTTAGGTTCTTTATTTCTCTGTTAAGTTTCAGTCTGGTAGATCTGTCCATTGGTGGGAGTGGTGTGTTGAAATCTCCCACTACTAATATGTGGTTTGATGTACTATTTAAGCCTTAGAAATGTTTCTTTTACAAATATGGATGCCTTTGTATTTGGGGCATAAATGTTCAGAATTGAGACTTCATCTTGGTGGATTTTCCCTGTGATAAATATGTAATGTCCTTCCTGATCTCTTCGATTGATTTTAGTTTGAAGTCTATTTTATTAGATATTAGGATAGCTACACCAGCTTGTTTCTTAGGTCCATTTGATTGGAAAGCCTTTTCCCAGCCTTTTACTCTGAGGTGGTGTCTGTTTGAGGTTGAGGTGTGTTTCTTGTTGCAGCAGAAGGATGGATCCTGTTTTCATATCCATTGTTAGCCTGTTATAGGTGAGTTGAGACATTGATAATAATATATCCATTAATATCCATTGATATTGATGGATATTAATGATCAGTGATTGTTAATTCCTGTTATTTTTTGGTGGTAGTGTTGTGTTTCCCTTCTTTGGTATTTATTGGTGTGGGATTATCTATTGCCTGAGTTTTCATGGGTGTATTTAATTTTGTTAGGTTGGATTTTTCCTTCTAGTGCTTTCTGTAGGGCTGGGTTTGTGGACAGGTATTGATTAAATCTGGTTTTATCCTGGAATATTTTGTTTACTCCACCTATGGTGATTGAGAGTTTTGCTGGGTATAATAGTCTGGGTTGGCATCCGTGGTCTCTTAGTGTCTGCCTAACATTTGTCCAGGACCTTCTTGCTTTCATAGTCTCTATTGAGAAGTCTGGTGTTATTCTGATGGGTCTGCCTTTATATGTTACTTGGCCTTTTTCTTTTGCAGCTCTTAATATTTTTTGTTGTTGTTCTGTATGTTTAGTGTTGTGATTATTATGTGGCTAGGGGACCTTTTTTTTGGATCTAGCCTATTTGGTGTTCTGTAAGCTTCTTGTATCTTCATGGGTATTCTTTCTTTAGTTTGGGAAAGTTTTCTTCTGTGATTTGTTGAGTATATTTTCTGTGCCTTTGAGTTGGTATTCTTCTCCTTCTTCTATCCCTGTTATTCTTAGGTTTGGTCTTTTCATGGTGTCCCAAATTTCCTGGATGTTTTATGTTAAGACTTTTTTGGCTTTAGTGTTTTCTTTGACTGATTTTCTCTATTGTGTCTTCAACATCAGAGATTCTCTGTTCCATTTCTTGCATTCTGTTGGTTATGCTTGCATTTGTAGTTCCTGTTCATTTAGTCAGATTTTCTATTTCCAGCATTTCTTCAGTTTGTGTCTCCTTTATTTTCTCAATTTCAGTTTTCAAATCTTGAACTGTTTCCTTCATCTGTTTAATTGCTTTTTCTTGGCTTTCTTTGATTTCTTCCAATTTTTTGTTTGTTTTTTTCTTCCATTTTTTAAAGGGAATTTTTCATTTCCTCTTTAAGGGCCTCTATTATCTTCTTAAAGTCATTTTTAGGATTGATTTCTTCTTCTTTTGCATTGGTATGTTCAGGTCTTGCAGGTGTAAAATCACTAGGTTCTGATGTTGTCATATAGGTCTCTATGTTGTTGCCTGTATTTTTGCCCTGGTGTCTACTCATCTCTTCCTCCACTCGGTGTAGGCGGTGTCTGTGTCTGAGGGTGCCTCTCTTGTTCCAATTGATAGTCTTGGTCCACTGGGAGTTCTTGGTCGAATCGGTGCTGTTGGGCTCTGTTTCTCTGGGAGCAGCTTAGTCCAATGGGTTTTAGGGGCTTCTGTCTCCGGTAGCAGTTGTCCCCAATAGGTGCAAGGTGGGCTTATTGCTCCAGTGGTTGTTGGGTTCACAGGGGCTGGTTTTTTTGGTGAGGGAGCAGGGAAAGGAGGCTGCCTGGTCCCTGGAGCTCCAGTGGCTGGGGGTGAGGGTCACAGGACTAATTTCTGCCAGATAGATGAAAGAGGGTACCCTACTTTCAAGCTTTCTCTTATCAAGTCCCTGCCCCCTTCTCTGCCCCTTTACTCCCCTCCCTTCAATAAACCTCTTCATGGGTCCTGTTGTATGGTGTGACTCCTTTCTGCCATCTTTAAAATACAACATTGGCAGTTCCAAGAGACATGGCACCCTCATTTCCTTTCACCTGCCATCCCTTACTCTTTTTTTGTTTTTTTGAGACAGGATTTCTCTGTGTAGTTTTGGTGCCTGTCCTGGATCTTGCTCTGTAGACCAGGCTGGCCTCGAACTCAGAGATCTGTCTGCCTCCTGAGTGCTGGGATTAAAGGCGTATGCCACCACCTGGCTCCCTTTTTATAACAGTAAGGGTGGAATGTCATTATTCCTAGCTACTTCTGGAGTCACATGACTGCACATGCACTGTCAGCAGTCAGGCAAAATTCACTCCAGGGCCTTATGTCCTATGTAATCTGTGCGCAGCATGGTCACATAAACTTCAGGCAGCGTGATCATGTATTCTGTGCATGCATGGCGTAGCTACGTAAGCCCATATACGCATGTGCGAGCAGATGCATATAAAAAGCAAGCCTCGCTCCTTACTCTCGCTCCCTCTCACTAGAGGTAGCACGCACCCCCCCCCCCACCTTCCCGCACCTTTCTTTTGGGTAGGCCTACCCACCTCCACCCTTTCCCTTCCCTAATAAAAACTCTTATAGTGGGTTCTGTTGTACCTCGTGCTTTCTCGCTCCCGGTAAATAACGCTGACAAATAAATGACAGTGTGTACCTGTCACCCCAGGTTCAGGACCTGAAGACAGGAGAAGCATGGCAAGTTCAAGAAGAGCCTGTTCTACACATGTGAGCTACAGGTCGCTCAGGGCAAGAGAGTTAGACCTTGTTTAAAAAAGAGTCAACCCATTTTCTTAGAACACCCCTCCATCTGCTCTGTGAGGGTTGGGGAGGTGGTGGTGTTTAACAATTTCCTCTAAGACAAAACAATCCTGCCCAATGAGGGCAGGGGGGCTGGTTAAAACCCAGAATGTTCAACATATCCCCCCGTCCCAGTTGGTTGAATGTTTGAGAGTGATTAGGAGGTGTGGCTCTATTGGAGGAGGTGTGTCATAGGGCAGGCTTACACGTGTCATAGACTTTCTCTCATTCTCATTGTGCTCTCTGCTTCATCCTTGCAGCTCAAGATGTAAGCTCTCAGCTGCTACAGCCAATGTGCCTACTGCTTACTGCCACACTGCCCAGCCATGATGGACTCTTAACTCTGAAACCATAAGCCCAATTTACCACTTTTTTATAGGTTGCATGGTGTTTTGTCACAATAATAGAAAAGTAACTGAGACACTTCCCAAGGCCTGTTTACCTCATACCCATCTCATTGGAAAGGGTAGAGTTCCAATATGAGATGTTCAGGAGTCATGTTTAGCTCATTGCTACTCACTTCGCTAGCCAGGAGAACTTGAATCTTTTAAAACCATTTTGAAGCCAGCAGCGGTGGCGCACGCCTTTAATCCCAGCACTTGGGAGGCAGATCAGGCAGATCTCTTGGGTTCAAGGCCAGCCTGGTCTACAGAGTGAGTTCAAGGCCAGCCTGGTCTACAGAGTGAGTTCCAGGACAGCCTGGTCTACAGAGTGAGTTCCAGGACAGCCTGGTCTACAGAGTGAGTTCCAGGACAGCCTGGATACACAGAGAAACCCTGTCTGGGCAAAAACAAAACAAAACAACAACAAAGAAACCCTTCAGAAACCCTAGTGAGGTCAGAGTAGCAAAGTGTGGAAGCAGAAGAACAAGATTATGAAGAAGTGACTCTAAAGTAAAGAGAATTTGGCAGGCAAGAAGAGTGGGAATACAGTGTTCTTAGACTTCAGAACTCTACCCTGCATGGCCTTGAAACCCACCACCACCACCACCACCACCACCACCACCACCAGGAATTGTACCTTGTGACAAGGATTCTAATTCCTGATCTTGGCTTTATTATGAAGGCAGAGTGATTATCTCAATTGAGATACTCCTAGGCATAGTGACATGCCTATCATCCCTGCACTAGAGGTGGAAGCAGAAGGACCAGGAGTTTAAAACCAGGTTGCCCAGCTACATAAGGAAGTCTAGGCCAGTCTGACCTATGTGAGACCCTACTTTAGCCTAGTGTTGGTGGCTCATGCCTTTAATCCCAGCACTTGGAAGGCAGAGGCAGACAAATCTCTGAGTTTGAAGTCATCCTGGTCAAACATGGTTCCAGGACAGCCAGGGGTACACAGGGAAATCCTTTCTCAAAAAACTAAAACAAATAAATAAAATGAAATAAAAATAAAAAGGAAAACATAAACTTTTAAAATTCTTTACAAAATCCCTCTTTAAAATGACTCTTCTTGTAGATGTGGTGACACACACACCTTTAATACCAGCAGTCAGAAGGCAGAGGCAGGCAGATCTCTATGAGGTTGAGGCCAGCCTGGTCTACATAGCAAGTTCCAGACCTGCTAAAGGATAAAAAAATAAAAATTATTATTAATATAATGTGAATAAAATTAGACATGTAATGTTTTATTTAACAGGATGAAAAGTTGTTTCCATTTATATTTTAAAACTCTGTGTGTGTGTGTGTGTGTGTGTGTGTGTGTGTGTGTGTGTGTGTGTGTGTGTGTGTCTGCTTGTCTATAGGTGTACCACATACATGCAGACCAGAAGAGAGCACCAGACCCCTTGTGTCTGGTATTTGGCCACCTGATGTGAGTACAGGAACCAAACCCTGGTCCTCTGCAAGAGTAGCAAGTGCTCTTAACTGCTGAGCCCTCCCTCCAGCCCTCTTTACTTTTTGACCTGTTGTGGTGGCACACGCCTTTAATCCCTGCACTCAGGAGATGGGCAAGTGGATCTCAGTGAGTTACCAGCCAGGGCTACATAGTAAGACTATCTAAAAATACCTTGTGTGTCTGTTTATGGATGTGTGTGAGCATGCCACAGCATGAATCTGGCCGTCAGAGGATGTTCTGTTTTATGTCAACTTGACACAAGCAAAAATAACTTGGGAAGAGAGAACCTCAGAAAGTGCCCCCACCAGATTCCTGTGGGTAAGCCAGTGGTACATTTTCTTAATTAATGATTGATATAAGAGCTAGCTAGCAAGAGGCCTGCCATAGACTATACAGTTTGTAAATAATATAAGCCTTTGTGTGTTTACTTGGGTCTGAGCTACGGGACTGGGTAGGACACAGGAAAACTCCTGACTACAGATCTCAATGAGTTTGAGGCCAGCCTGGTCTACAGAGTGAGTTCCAGGATAGCTAAGATTGTTACACAGAGAAACCCTGTCTCAAAAAACCAAAAAATAAAAGAAATCTTAAAACTTAGTCTTGATAGTTAGGGAAATATATAAAACTGCTTTTTTTTTTTTTGGTTTTGTTGAGACAGGGTTTCTCTGTGTAGCTTTGCACCTTTCCTGGAACTCACTCTGTAGCCCAGGCTGGCCTCAAACTCACAGAGATCCACCTGCCTCTGCCTCCCAAGTGCTGGGATTAAAGGATAAGTTAGGTATAAGGGGTGGGGATGGCTGAGTGATTAAGCATACTGGCTGTTCTTCCAGAGGACCTGGGTTCAATTCCCAGTACCTACATGGGTGCTGACAACTGTTTGTAACTCTAGTCCTAGGAGGTCTGACAGCCTCTTTCAGCCTCCTCTGGCATTGTACACCCATGGTTTGCATACGTACATGCAGGCAAAACACCTATGCACATAAAAATTATTTAAAAAATGAAATTAGGCTAGGTGGTAGTGGTGCATACCTTTAATTCCAGCACTCAGAAGGCAGAGGCAGGTGCATCTCTCAGTTTGAGGCCAGCCTGGTCTTCATAGTGAGTTCTAGAACAGCTAGGGCTACACAGAGGATGGAGAAGGGGGTGGGAGGAGATTAGAAATAGTGTTTATTTTCTCAAAGCCTCTATATTTTTCCTACAATACTTCAGAAACCATAATCTGAGAATGCCATAGATCCTTGAGAAGCTGAGAAATCGGCTAATATGTGATGAAGTACATCTAGAGGAATCTAGAAAAGATTATTTCAAGTGGCATAGCTGGAAAATTTATACACAGGAAAGGCTTTTGAATAGTGCACAACCATTTTCAGTTTTGAGTACTGGGAAATGCTTTGGAACCTCAGAGGTAATAACTCACTTCAAGTGACATTTAAAAACAAAGGTATTCAGTGCTGCTGTTCAGAGCTGCCGAGATGTGTTCACAAACCTCTCCATCAGAGATTGTTCTGACTAGAATGTGGGTAAGCTCCAAAAGTACAGAATGCGAGGGTTAGAGGAGGCCCCACCTCTCCTTCTGAGGAGCTATAAGCAGTTAATGGTTAATGAGGTTGGGAAGAGAGCTTTTCTCCAGTGTTGTCCCTAACCCTAACCTTGTGACCCTTAATTACTCTCTGGATCACACAAAAGGCAGAGGAGGACTAGCAGTGAAGAGGAAAGAGCAGTGGAGTGAGAACAAGTGGGAAATCAGAGGACAGTGGGAATGCCTGCTTCTGAAGGGAATCCAGTAGAGATTTTCTGTGTCCAGGAGTTAGGACATCAGTGGGCAAGTGTGTTAATGAGAGGTCGGTTTGTAGGAGTTGGGCCTCTCCTTCTACTACATGGGTCCTGGGGATCAAACTCAGTTTGCCAGCCTTACAAGCAGGTGTCTTTACCCACTAAGCCATCTTGCCAGTTCTGAAAATTTTCTTTCCCTAGGTCTGCTTTTCCAGAGATCATCAGTTGACTACACCAGCAGTTTAAGGCCTATTAACTCAGTGGGGTCTGGTCTCATCTCCTCATCAAAAAGTGCAAAACTGAACGGCATTAGCTTGTTCTCTTCAGTCTGATTGCCAACAATTAAAATAGTCTTAAAAATATTCAGGTCTGCTTTCTGAAAGCCAAATCCCTTGAACTGGATGTTTCCCAGCAAGCATAAACAACAGAATTACCAAGAATCTAAGGAGTGACGTTGTGAAAATCAGCTCAAGGACAAAGGTTCCCTGTGTGCAGTGGTGTAGTAAAGATTCGCAGGCTGTAGTCCAAACTTGGATCCACTCCTGGGTGGCGTGACCATGGCTTGTTGGCAGCTTGCTGTTGTTGTACAAGAAATGATTTAAACTGCTAAGACCTCAAGCTTTAGGAGATACTTAACCGGAAAGCCCTACCAGGAATGTTATAACCAGAAGTGAGTTTCTAAGAATGCAGGCATGCAAAATAGAAATAGATGCTGGTTACCCATTCTCAAATAGTGTTATGTTTTTGGTTGAGACAGGATTTGATTTTATAGCTCAGGCTGGTCTTGAATGCTGTTCTTCTACCTTAGTTTCATGAGTGGTGAGCTTTCAATGTGGGCACTACCATACCCAGCTATCCTGTCCATTTTTGTTTTGGCTAAGATTTCAGGTGGTCTCTGTCCCACTTCCTGCCTGACACTCAGCCATGTAGGTAAGGATGACCCCAGCTGCTGATCTTCCAGCCTCCACCTCCCAAGTGTTGGGATTACAGGACTAAACACCATACCCACCAGGCAAAGGTTCCCATGGTTCTTGATGTTGGGAAATAGCAGTTAATACATGAATTGTTCTTTTTTTACTATAGTTTTACGCCTGGACCGTATCATTATGTTGTTAGTAAAAGACAGTGATATTCATTCTGTTCTCTTGATACTGCTAGTTTAGAGGCTATTAATTGCATTATGTTCTAACTCAAATTCTGAAGTCCTTACTCTTGGTACCTGAGAATTGACTTCTTTGAAGACTTAAATTAAAAAACAAAAGTTTATGTGTACGTATGTGAATGCCACATGTGCAAGAGCCTGCAGAGACACCGTCAGCACTAGAAGCCTCAGAGCTGGAATTTCAGGTGGCTATAAACCACCTGAGATGGCTGCTGGAACCAAACTCTGGGCCTCTGGAAGAGCAACAAGTATTCCTAACTGAGTCATCCCTGTAGCCCCAGAGATAGTATTTTATTTTTAAAGAAACTTGCTGAAGACCTTGAGCTCCTGCTGTTTAAACTTGTATCTCCAGAGTACTTGGATTGCCGCTGTGTGCCACCACAGATCTTTAGAGCACGTGGTAGGATTGAACATATGATTGGTGATCCAATAAGGACACGGAGATTTGGGACAGTCAAGTCAGAAGGACATTCTATGGCACAGACTGCTACTGACAAGCTGAGAAGCTACAGTTGGGTAGCTGCCAGTGGTTTCAGAACTGAGAATTGGTTAAATTTCTCCTACTTAAGAGACCTGCTTCACAGCTAGTACAGTAGCCACTAGAGTGCAGACAGATTAATCAATGTTACCACACCAGAAACCCTTCATCCCCATATTCCTAACTCTATGGTAATACTTCAGTGGATCTTCTCAAAATTCAGATAGATTTTTGTCACAGGTTGGGGCATGATTTCATAGGTATATAACTGAAGATGAAATGCTAAGAGCTCCAGTAATAGGTACTTAGATGAAGATAAAGTGCCAGTTGGTTATGAACGAGTGTAAGGTGGTTGTATGCTTACTGTCTCACACGTTCCCAGCTCTCCCCTTTTACATCCTTCAACTTAAGCAGAGGCTTTAAAAACATTCATTGGGTGTGGTGCTTTATGCCTGCCTACCCAACACCTGAGAGGCCGAGGCAGGACTTAATAGTTTGAAACCAGTGTGGGCTACAGAGTGAAACCTTGTCCCAACCCAGTTACAGCTGTTATTATCTCCAGATCCAGGGGATCTGATGGCCTCCTTGGGCCTCCATGGGCACTGCACACACCTGGTGTGCTTACATACAGGCGAAAGACCCCACATAAAACCACTACTCTTACATACGTCCTCTGTGCCCTACTTCTGGTAGTGCAGTAGTTAAAGACTTCATAGAAGGTTGTCTTCAGTTTTGAAAACTATGGTCAGTTTCTTTGGTACCTTTGTTTCCATTCATGAACTTGGAGCATAGGCAAGAAACTGGGTAATAGTCACCAAAAGTGACAACTACAGACTGTCATGCAATTGAAAACACCACCATAAAGTATAATTATATACTGAAAAATGCAGTAATGCCAGAAAACAGTCAAGAAACTTGTCAAAGGCAAATTATACAGGCTGTGTTTCAGATCACCCACTTTAACATTAAAAAAGAATTTATTATTTTACTTAAACATTATGTAAAGATAACAGTCAGGTAGTCTCGTGGACTGGAAGGTGACTGATTAATTCCCTTTCATTCCCAAACCTCATCAAGCAGTCACTGCATTTATGAGGCAAGTCAACTGAATGCTTGAAATCAAGATGAATTTTAAGATCTTCAATTTGTCCTGTTGAATATTCACAATATTGGCATAAATAAATCCCTTCAGATAAATGTGAATTTAAATGCTTGCAATATTCTAACATGCTGGAAAAGCCCTTCCCACAGTCATCACAAACATGAGGGAATATTTTAGTATGCTCGATAGCAACGTGTCTGTTGACATTTGTGTGAAGTCTGCTCCGGAATCCACAGACTTGACACACAAAGAAGTTTTTGCATTTGTCAAAGGTGATCTTGCTTAGAAGGCTGCACTGCCCATGCCCACCACCGCTACACTTGTCACTCAGCTCGATCAGTCTTCGAGCGTGCTCATTGACCACGTGGCTGTGCAGGTCCTCAGGGTCCCCTGTCTCGTGCTCACAGAACTGGCATAGGTACTGCTCATCGCGGCTGTGCTCCTGGAAGTGCAGGTAGAGCTCACTGCTCGAGGAGAACTGCACATCACACTGCTCACACCAATAAAGGTGGTCGCTGAAGTGGGTGTCTGCAATGTGCTGGCTGAGGTTCTCAAAGATCACTGTCTTATAGTCACAGTACTTACAGATGTAGGGGTCTTCTTCGTGAAGTTTGGCATGCTCAATGAGAAGCATATTGGTGGAAAAGCTTTCCTTGCACACTCGACATACATTTGAGTCAGTGCGCTTGTGTTTCAGGATCATATGCTGCTTTAGGTCAGAAAAATACTTACTGTTGAATTCACAGAGTTCACACTTGTAGAGGCCACTGCTGTTGGCTCTCAGTAAAGGCCACTTCTGTTGGGCAGTCACATTCAAAGCTTGGCTCTTGTCAAGTATTTTGCAGAGTTTAGCTGGTGGTTCTTCATCAGTCTGGTCTTGGAGGCTCTCGGAGGAATTGTTCTCTGCCTCTATATCATAATCTTCAGAAATCGCATGAACTTCTACAGCAATTGGGACGTCTTCTGAGGTGTGAACCTCTATAGGGCTCTCCTCTTGAGTATGTTGATGCACAGACTCAGGTGAGTCACACTCTTCATCACAGACTTCAACATCAGCAGACTTTTCTGAAAGAGAGTAAGCCACTGTTGCAGCCCCTGTACTAAATAGACCATTAGAAAATCACCCTATTGTAGTACTAGACACAATACATCCCACTAGAAACAGTCGTCCCCAGTATTGGAGCACTGTACTAAACAAGCCCATTAGAAACCATTGTGTGGGGGCTGGAGAGATGGCTCAGAGGTTAAGAGCACCGACTGCTCTTCCAAAGGTCCTGAGTTCAATTCCCAGCAACCACATGGTGGCTCTCAACCATCCATAATGAGATCTGATGCCCTCTTCTGGAGTGCAGGCATACATGCAGGCAGAACACTATATACATATAAATAAACTTAAAAAAACAAAAAAAAAAGAAACCATTGTGTGAAAAGCAGTTACAGTACACATTGCTTTTACCTGATCTGTATAAAATATACTAAATTCTATTAGTTAATGAGTTCCCCTAACCTGTGGAAAAGACAGTCTGGTCTAGAATTCTAAGCACAGGACTGGGAACCAAGTAGTTCTGATTCCTATTTCTGGCCTTAGTTCCATCTGTAAATTTGGGCAAGTCATTTGATGTCTCAGGATCAGAATCATCATCTGTAAAAAGAATTAAAAAAAAAAAACATTTTATATCAAAGCATTAAGCATCACAAAATACTTTTATAGGAACAACTTAGATTTAGCCATGAAAGGATTTAGCTGAATTTTTCTCCAGTCTGGTCCTGCCCAGCCCCACGGACTCCACAGCCACTTATAAAACTATCACTTAGAAGCTTATATTAATTAAAACTGCTTGGCCATTAACTTAAGCTAACTACTGACTAGCTCTTACACTTAAACTCAGCCCATTTCTGTTCATCTATATGTTGCCATGTGTGTGCCATTACATGCTTCTCCCTAGACAGCCGACTGGCATCTACTCAACCTTCCTTTCCCAGAATTCTCTTTGTCTGTTTATCCCATCTATATGTCCTGCCTGGCTACTGGCCAATCAGCTTTTTATTTATTAACCACTCAGAGCAACACATTCACAGCATACAGAGCGATATCCACAGCAAAAGGACATACTACCTATTGCAGATCCCTACAGACACTGAGCATATACAGAATAATTCACTGCCTTTCTTTATATGCTCTACTTAGACTAGAATACACTCTAAACTTCCTAAGAAATGAGATTGAATCATTATTCCTTTAGTCCAGCCTCGTTCCCTCCAAGTTAGCATGGGAAACTGAAATAAGGGTCAACAGAGAAAACTAGTCTGCAACATGTGTGTTTTAATAGACTTTGTTTTGTAAAAACAGTTTCAGACTTAAGGGGAAAGTCATGAAAATAGTATAAAGTGCTCCTAATATATCACAATGTTTCCCCACTATTAATTCATTACACTAGCATGGGGCATATTTTGCAATTAATAATTAATATATGACCACGGATACTGACACATTATTACTAACTGTAGCGCATACTTCATTCAGACATACTCTATTTTTACCCAATGTCCTTTGCATCCCACATCACATTTAGTCATATCTTTCTAGGAGCCTGGAAACTGACTGTCTCAAGGACTAATGGTCAGCCATTTTGTAGAATGCTCCACTAGTGGAGTTTATCTATTTTTTTTTTCATGATTAGATTGGAATTAGGAGATCCTGTAGGGTAGACCCCACTGCCATCACTTTCAGAGCACACACTAACTGCTGAACTAACCAACCCTCTTGTCCTGGCTAATGTAGCATTTGGTTTCTGTACTGTGAAGCTGTTCTTGTCCCTTCCATAATCTACTCTCTGAAAGTGACTGTACAGCAAGTTCCAAGACAGCCATGGCACAAAGGGAAACCTGTCTTTAAAATAAAGGGGGGGGGGGTGAGGAATTATTTTATGCAGGACACTGTATCTTCTACCCCTTTCTATGCACAGTCTTTTCTAGCAGTATAGAGTCATGTTTCTCAGATGGTTTCAGCTCTGGCTATTGGAAGCTTTCCTTTTGTCTCCAATGCTGAGGTGGAAGCCAAGGGCTCATGGTGCTAGACAAGCAGTCTGTCATCTGAGCTCTCCCTAGCCCCTCAAGAGTGCCTTCAGCTCACCCATACTGTGTGTGTAGGTTTGTTTTTTAATACTTCCTATTTTCCAGCACTTCAAGATGCTCCAAACCCACCTTGTCTATTTCCTCCCCATGTCTAGAACCAGTCATGTGTACAGAGGCCTTAATTCCTTGGTATTATAAACCAAGATCTGGACATAAAATGTGTACACTGCTACTAGGTGCTTCTTTAGGCCTCACAACTGCCTAAAACAGTCCTGTTAACTCTCACAGATCCAGATGCAGGTCTGTGAGCACTTCTGTGTGAGCATTCGAGTCTGTACTGAGCCAGGTATAAGCTCACAGTGATAACGGAGTCACAGACAGGGAGCAGCAATGGGTGTAGAGAAAGCAAAGAGTGCATGTTCTTACCATTTGCCAATGCTCTAGAAAAGAGACAACAGAAAATTTCAGACTGAAAATACCAAACAGCCGCTCCTGATCCTTCCCTTCTATCAGCACGCCAGTGGGCAAAATTATTCCTAACACTTGACTACCAACACTGCAACTCTAGGTCACTCCTGCTTTGTATCAACTCGTAACCAAATAAAAGGATGTAAGAGTTTGCTTAAAAATGAAAACCACTTATTTGATTTAAAACAAACAAACAAAAACACACTTTTTTTTCCTGACATTACAATTAAAATGTTTGCCTGCCTTGGAACTATAAACCCACATTTCAAACTACCTTTTCCGATAATTCCTAAGGAAAGACATGCAAAGGCAGCTTTGTTTCTTTTTGCTTTTTTTTTGTAGTACTACACAGGAGTCAGTTCTTACACATAGTGGACAGACACTCACCCACAGAGGAATCCCTAGGTCCTGAAAAAGGAAGTTACAACAAGTATTCTGGAAAATAGGGGCCTTACCTTTGTTGTCAAAGTATTTTAAGTCTGGCTGTCTCATGGAGCAGACACTGTAACAATGATCAGAAAAGATTCCACTGACTCCATCTGTGATTCTGCTTATTCCAGAAGAATCTAAATGTAAAACAAAATGAAGACAATTCTCAGCATAATACACAGATGCACGAGCTTGTTTACATATTTTTGTCCACTCCTCTGCCCAATGTTAAAGATTGAACCCACTGCCTTGCACATAGACAAACCCTCTACACTGACCTACAGCACTAGCCCATATTTTCATGATTCTAATGAGTTTCAGCATGAAAAGCGTAGCATGTCCCTCAGTGTTATACTTTAGATCAGACACTGGCATTGCTTTTAAAGAGCTGTCGACTGAACTGTAGTGACTCTCACGGAGCTGAGTGGCTGCTGCACACCTGTGGTGTCAGCACTGCACGGCTAAGGGGATCAGCAAGGCTCTAAATGAATTCAACAAGATAAACTAAAACTTCAGAAATGGGCTGCAGAGAGGGCTAGACACTCGGATGCAGAGGAGCCAGGTTCAGTCTACAGCACCCACACAGTGGCTCACAACTGTCTGTAATTCAGTTCCAGGGGACCTGACACCTTCTGGCCTCCACATACATACATGTAGGCAAAACTGTCATACACATAAAAATATATATATACCCTTAAAAACATACAAGGAAACATTTGCCTTATAGTTTGAATCTCACAAAACACATGTATGTAATAAATGCTGTGTTAATGATGAAAACAGTGAATTAACTACCATGAACTACTAAGAAGTCATGCCACATAGTGCCGAGAAAGCATAATACATGAGGAGAAACAGTCCTAGGAGTGGAGAGGGCTTCTGAATACCAGCCATTCCAAATACTGCCTGGAAGCACCAATACACAATAGACCGAGCACTTTCCTCACAAGGGTCATGTGTAAGGAGCAAGCTAATGGGTAGCCTGAAAGAGCCTCAAGTTATGTGTGCTGGAGATGGACACACAGACACAAATCTCCTTTTTTTCTCTTTAAAGACAGGATTTCTCTGTATAACCTTGGCTGTCCTAGAACTCTGTAGACCAGGCTGGCCTTGAACTCACAGATCCACCTGGAGTGTTAGGATTAAAGGCATGTAGTACCATCAGCCTCTCCCCACCCCCCTTTTTTTTTTGAGAATGGATCTCATGTAGCCTAAGCTGGCCTCACTCTGGATCCTTCCTGCCTCCGCCTATCAAGTGATGGGATTAGAGGTGAACCAGGGCTTCATGTATGCTAGGCAAGCATTCTAAACATTGAGATACACCCCCAGCCCAGACCTCTTCTTCTGTTAACAGAGCAGAGCCAACCTCTATCACAAATCATACACTCAAGGTAAAACTGGGGAGGTAGAGAGATGGTTCCGTGATTAAGAGCACTTGTTGCTCCTGCAGAGGACCTGGGTTCAGTTCCAGCACCTACATGATGGTTCAAAACCATCTGTAATTACAGTTTCAGGGGACCCAACACCCTCTTCTGACTTCCCTAGGCACCAGGCATACACATGGTGCCACATACACACGCAGATAAACACTCACACACGTAAAATAAAGGTCATGGTTCCAAAAATAGTGCTTAAGAAAAAGCTTTATTCCTCAGTGCAAATACATCCTGCGGAAGTTACTGTTGCACCTTGAGCACAGTTTGTGACTCTGACAGGCAGAGTCCAATTATGCTGCGTGAGAAGTAAGCTTGGATATCTAATTTTAAATACTTATTGCCCATAGGGCCTAGCTGAGTAAGATGTACAGTTGTAAAGCATCCCTGTAGCATTCCATCTAGCAGACAAAGTATATGCAGATTTAGTCAATGTTCTCATACCAGAAAATGGCCCAGATATTGTCTTATCATTTATACAAAAATAAATGGGAATAACAACTACACGGAAATTAATCCATTACTCTTTGAAAATAATTCAATTATACACTAACCTGAATAACGAGAAGGGTGTAAAGTCTTCCTTTTTCTTTTTTTAGGATATTCATTCATATCTTTTCAGTCTAAAAAATGAAAAAGATTTAACAGACATGGTACAATAACTGATATTATTGTATAAATCCTTTTGAGCCAAAGAATTTATTGGCAATAAGACTTCTGGGGGGTGGAGATGGCTCAGCAGTTTTCTAAGAAGACTGGCTACTTTTCCAGAGGACCTGGGTTCAATTCCCAGCACCCATGTGGCAGCTCACTACTATCTGTAATTTGAGTCCCAGGGCACCAAATATGCATGTGGTGCAAGACATCCATACACATACTTTATAATACTTTATAAAGAAATCTGTGTGGAACATGAAAATAGGCGTCACAAGAACGACACTGCACAGTGCCTCTATTGCAAACATTATAAAAAGCCTACCAGACAAGCCTAGACTACGAGACCCTGTCCATAAACAAAAGCAAAACAGAGCAGCACACACCTTTTAGTCCCAGCACTTGGGAGGCTGAGACAGGCAGAGTTTGAGGCTAGCCTGGTCTACATAGAGTTCCAGACCAGCCATGGTTACAAAGAGAGACCCTGTCAACACACACACACACACACACACACACACACACACACACGCATGCATCATTATGCCCATGGGCATACAATGTTTCTACAGATTTCAAGTTAAACATGGATATTTTTCCTTAAAAAATATAACTGTGAGTCTATTAACATAATGGCTTCCAGAAAAAAAAGTGTTGTACAGAATCTTGGATTATAAGTAATTATTAAGAAAAATCTTAATAATGATTGTGAGGTCACATTCAACATTCTCCTGAGAATACAAGTATGGCGACCACCAAACAGCTAAGCTCCCATGAACCATTAGAAAATCTACTCATTAGTTTGGCTGTGTTCCACTTACCTGGTGTAACTCTCAACACTGCAGTGAGGAAAATGAATTACAGGCAAATTTCCCGTGGCGGCAGAAATGTCTGCAAATGAGAGAGACCGGCAGTCATGTAAGCAAGAGCAGCACTGCATGAGCCGTAGCCTGGGGTAAAATGCTCCCGCATCCTAAATTCGCCACGGAAAAATTAACGCAGACATGTTCTTTATGCTTTCTAACAACTACATATACTGATGAATATCCAATTATGTGTAAAATTTTTATATTTCTTGAAACAAACCTTTGTTCATAGCCATTGCTCTATTTTGATGATAAAATTATAGTATAAGTCTGCATTAATTTTATTCCGTCATTAGAAAAATCACAAATGGCTGGTTGTGGTGGTGTACACCTTTAATATCAACACTCAGAGGCAGAGGCAGGCAGATCTCTCTGAGTTTGAGGCCAGCCTGGTCTACAGAATGAGTTCCAGGACAGCCAGGGCTGTTACACAGAGAAACCCTGTCTAGAAAAAAAAAAAAAAAAAAAAAAAACTAACAAACAAACTGAAGCTCCTTCTCCCATCTCAGTTTAACATCTGTCCGCCCTACACACTGCTTTTCTCTCCCCCACTTCTTCCCTTTGAGCTTCTTGAGACAGGGTCTGTGTAGTGTGGGGTAGCCTGGAACCCCATGGTGGGCCTATCCTAGCCTCCTAAGTCCTGGGGTGACAGGACCAATCCTGTTGCCTGTGGAAACTTCCCTGAGGGGCACGCACGACTTCTGGGTCTGTCACACAATAATGATCACACAATAAGGTGACAGTTCCCATTTATTAAGCACATTCTTCTCCCTTAGGTCATCTTCCCAACAAGCCCATGAGGAACCCAGAAGGACTCCTTCTCAAACTCACCTCATTTTAAGCAGTGAAGAAATCAACTCTGGGCAAGTCCATTATGACATAGAGGACCAAAGATGGAACACTTGTCTCTGGACTGCTGGCATCAGTAACAGCTCTGTGGGGGACCCTCACTGCTCCACACCAGCAAGTTCACCGCTTCGCTTCACCTTCTTAGCCAGAGTAGGGAGGGGAGGTGATATCTGGAAACCTGACAGCCACACTCTTATAGAAACATTAGGTACAAATACAAACTGCTTCACCCAACACTGTCAACAACATTCTCTGGTTTGGGGAGACAGGGTTTCTTGTAGCTCATATCCTAATATATATTCTGATCAGGGAGAACAATGAAAATATGTCAAGAGGGTATTTCAGGTTGTTCAGAACATAAACAAAAAGAAAAGAAAACCAAGCATGGGATTAAAATGATTTAAAATAGCAGGTTGCATTTGGCCTGTCAAGCGAGAGAAGTCGGATGGGTGAGAGTCTGACTTCTACTTAGGACTGACACCACCAAAGGCTTATGAAGACCACTCACACCCCAAACTGCTAATCAACCTGCACATGAGCAAACAGCACGTATGGGCTTTCTGTATGCACACGTGCCTTCATGAAGACATTTGGAGTGTACACACATGCAAAAATGCCACAGCAAAGGAGTGGTGTGTCCAGAGGATTGAACTCAGGTCATCAGGCTTGGCAGCAGGTGCCTTTACTCACTGAGCCATCTTGCCAGCTCCAGAAATTTGGCTTCTTAATCAAATACTGTAAATCTGATGAACTTGTGCTCACTAGTTCTCCTATCAGAAAGATTGTGAATCATCTGAAACTTACCCCTGCCCCCAATTATACACACTGTATAAAATCAGGATGTTTAAAATTAAACCACCTAAAATCTATTCACTCAGAAAAAAAAAGTTAAATCTTGGTGATATATCCACAGTTTATAATGTATTGCTTAAAATAAAAAATAAAAAACCCAGGTGGTGGGGGGGGGGGCAGCACATCTTTAATCCCAGCAGAGACAGGCAGATCTCTGTGAGTTCGAGGCCAGCCTGGTCTAGAGTGAGTTCCAGACAGCCAGGACTACACAAAGAACCTTGTCTGGGGGTGGGTTTGGTGGGGAAGAACCACCCCAAAACTCTCTACTTTGCTGAGTGTGGTGGTCCATGACTTTATTCCCAGCCCTCAGGAGGCAGAGACAGGTGGATAGCTTTGAGTTCTTGACCAGTGAGTTCCGGGCCAGTCAGAAGTATATACTGTGTGTCAAAAAAGAGTGAACAGATGGGATGTGGTTATGTGTTAATTCTAAACTTATCTGTATTTGGTGTTAAGTGTTTTTGTTTGCTGCAACTCGGAGGTCTGCCTCCGCCTCCACCAGAGTGCAAGGATCAAAGGTATGCACCACTCCTGGCTGTCTTCATTTTTGAGAAAACATGAAAGAAAAATTCCCACTTTTAAAAACCCCAACCCCATTCTCAGGCAAAGGGCAGTCTGGCTGGCAGCCTTCACATATATCCCTAAAAAATTGGGGGCACAATATATGAAATATTATTTTAAAAATCATCCTCCATAACTGAGCGATGGCGCACACATCTTTAACCCCAGCACTCAAGAGACAGAGGCAGGTGGATCTCTATGAGTTCAAGGCCAGTCTGGTCTACAGAGCTAGTCCCAGGGCAGCTAGGACTACACTGAGAAACTGTCTCGAAAAACTAAAAAAAAAAAAAAGAAAAAGAAAGAAATAAAAACATCTTCTATGTCATCAGCAGAGCTCAGTGGCTCACAGCTGACATCTCAGCCCTCAGGAGGCTGAGGCAAGACTACATAGAAAGACTGTCTCCTAAAAATGAAATAAACGGTAACACACACGAAGGCATCTTGGCACCTGGCGTCTTTAAAACACTTATTTGTGTTTCCCAAAGAGACAAACCTTTTCAAAAGCTTTCCATACCACTTTAGATGTCTCTATATAATACAAAAATGCATTTTAAAATAGACTGTTTCCGTGTGTGTGTGTGTGTTTGTGGTCCAAGAGAGGGTGTCGGATCTCCTGGAGATGGGAGTTACAGCCAATCATGAGCCTACTCCAACTGGGTGTTCTCTCCAGCTCCCAACACTAAATTTTTTGACACAGGCTCATTGCGTTAAGACGTTTAAACACTTTATTTTTCACCACCATAAAAATAAGTATTTTCAGGACCGTCGTGATGGCTCAGAATGCGCTTACCAGCAAGCCTGACCTGAGTGTGAGTCCCGGAACCCACATGGTGGAAGAACAGACTTCTTGAAAGCTGTCCTCTGACCTCTACACTTGCGCCGTGCAACACGTGCGCATGCATGCACACAATAAACACATATAACCTCAAAAACAAAAGGAGAATTTTTCACATTCTAATTGAAGCCCGGCGTAGTGGCTCACGCCTCTAAGCCCAGCCTGGGCTACACAAGACCCTGTCACAAATAACAGGGATCGAAGCGGGTTTCGGAGAGCGCTGGTCCCACCTGGCCTCTCCTGAGACCCGCCATCCGTGATGACGCAGGGCCGGGTCCCCGCTGGCCTCCAGGGACCCCCGGGAGCGGCCTCCCGCAGGCCCGCATGGGCCCCCCG